GGCTGAAGAGCCAAAACACATGGATCAATGTCCCTCCATGGAGAGGAGAAAAAACATTCAGCGCGCACTCAAAAGATATAACGAATGTTGGGGAATCAAACTAATGTACATTTCAGTAGGAACCTAAATGGCAACCTGTAAAGTCTCTAGGCAGAAAATATAAAACCAAGAGTGCAGGCGAACATCCATGAAGAGGCCTAAGGTTAAGAGAGTAGTTCAGGGTGGTTTGTTTGCAATGTGAAGTCGATAAGCATCATCATTAGAAATTCATAAAAATGCAACTTTTTCCATGAGAATCTATCCATCGTCTCCCAATATTTCAGCTAGAAACAATGGATATCACTTTGGCGTAGTTTTTCTTGTCAGTGAAAAACAAGGAACAATAGCAGACAGATTGCTTTAAGTAGATCAAATTCAGTATTTGGGTCAATAAAAGGAAAAGGTGTTGGCTATTGCATCACAGTTCGATCAGCTGTTGAAAAGGGATTCAATAAAAACTAAAGCAATAAAGTACTCCCTCCGTACCATAATATAAGAGCGTTTTCGACACTACACTAGTGTAAAAGACGCTCTTAAATTATGGGACGGAGGAAGTAGGATAGAAGGAAATGTACTAACCTTAATAGATATGTTGCTCTTATGTTTCTTCAAAATTTCCAGAAGTACTCTAGTCCAATAGCCTCTATAACTGAGCAGACCAAGATCTGAGAGAGGACGCTCCGGTGTTCCCACTTTACCTTCCTTTTTAGAAAGCTCATAAGCTGTCATAATAAAGAAAATTCAACTATGAACAAAATGCTAGAGTGGAGAAACAGTTTAGTCCATAAGAAAATCAAAAGCTAACAATGAGATGAGAAATATAGCATAAGTTCAGACTTACAGAAAGCAATCAGGAACTTTCCGTAACCCTTTCTTTGGTATGGAGGGAGAGTGAGAATGCAGGCCAAGTTGTAAGCTTCCTCAGAGTGCTTCTCCTGCAGAGATAAAACCCAATTTAACAAACATGACCATTTGCTCTGTAGCATAAAACGATTCATTGCTACTAATATGAATCCCATTTTGTACACAAATTATGGAAGCAGCTTCACACAATATAATTCACATTCAATCGAACTAGGAAATAAAAACAATACTGGTTTAAGAATCGCCACAAACTTTACCTTGGAGAAATATCCCACCATATGGCATCCCCGATCATCACATTCACACAGGATATAGAACAAGAACAAATCCACATCATAGTAGAGTGTTTTGTGATCAAGGAATAGCTTGGCCAGGTAGCAAAGGTTCTGTCCATAAACCTTATTCTTCTTGCCATCAACCTGCCATCGCGCAAGCAGTTATACTGTTACAACTGTGCTAGGAAAACTGTATTGGGGTAAATTACAGACCTTCAGTTCAAACAGAAGAATCAAGCGGATTCAAGATAGCGTGCATCCTCTTTTAGATTATAAATGAATCTATATAATAAAATCAATAGTTGAAGAAACATATGGCATTAGATATATTGCCTTTATAGTATTATCCATTTTGGATATGCAGATGTCAGCGTCAAACTAGCCAAATAAAATTAGTCTACCTGGAGGAAAAAGCAATTCAAATGCAAAATTCCTCAAGACACCATTCCGCATAGGAAATAACAGGTAGACATATGATGCAAATAGATTGTATATTTCATATATGCCATCAGCTAATCTCTATATAAAGCAAAGACGGAATTTGATTCTTCAACAATTAATATTAACATGTCAATGCTCGCATCTCTAGATAACGACTCTCTGGCTTTCAACATAATCTTCTATCAATTTAAAAAAAAATCTGTGATGATTGACCAAAAGAACTCATCCACCCATTCTGCCAGTCTTGTTTTCAGAAAAACTAAAGGAAATTGCTGACAGTCCTAATGCATTTTTATTATTCTTCTTTGCTCGAGACTCGAGATATTTGTCTATAATGGGAGAACTACGTTCTGTAGCTGTTTCTACATTACTCCCTCCATCCAAATATATAGGGCCTAATGCATTTTTCGAGTTTGGTTTTGACCATTGATAAGATTGATAATATATGAGATGCATGACAAAAATATTATATCATTAGAAATTCCTTTCACATACGAAATTTAATGGCATGCTTAGTGTAATATGCATGTCATATATTATTGCTCTAATTCATGGTCAAAGGTAACCTCGAAAAGCATATTAAGCCCTATATATTTGGATGGAGGGGGTATAGTTGTGTAAGCAACTAACTGCAGATATGCACCTCTATTAGCCTTCCCCAGTAACAGAATATCATAATACAGACCATAAGTTAAGAGCAAGGATGTCCAGCTAGCAAAGTGTCAATCAAACTTGTTACCTCGAACATCGATAGAGTTCCACATCTGTAGATTTCATCACCCGGGGGATGCTTAAGATCACACTTCTTCTGCAGAAGTAAAGGAGATGGCAAAACAATCTGGTTAGGGTTTATGATATTTACAAGGGAATCAGAACCCGCTGAAATGGAAATTATGTGCACATGTACAACAACAACAAAGCCTTTAGTCCCAAAAAAGTTGGGGTAGGCTAGAGGCGAAACCCATAAGAGCTGAAACGGAAATTATGTGCACATGTGCAGCAAACAAAATACAAAGAAAGCATCAGACCATCATCGTGGATCAACTGAGCAACTTAATATGTTGCACAAACCAGAAATGTCCATCCAAGTCATAATATAGTACTACCTCCAGTAAGAATACGAATTAAATGCATTTTAGAATATATGCAGTCAAAATTAACTCTACTTTAACAAATAATATATTGATAAATATTTAGGTTACCCATATATAAATTATATGATAAATTATAAATATATGATGGTACAAATTGCTTGTCGAAGTTATGTTCTGGAGACCATGCTAATGTCCAAATAGCACATGTGACTCAGAGGGAGTGATGACAGCAAGGGTGTGTTTGTATGTTTTTCCGTTCATGCCCAGCTACAAAGGCTTTCAACCTACAGCCCATGTGGGCAAATCTAGCTATTTGGTTCAGCTAGCAATCTCCATGGTCAAGCAACAATTCCAGTGGCAGTTCTCTTGATTTCTTTCTTCCGCTCATTTTTTTGCCAATGGAGGAGAGCCAAATTGGCCCTCCTGCTGGGGCAAGGCTTTTCTAGCCCACGCAGGCTAGATGGATTAGTAAAGTTAGTTATTTTATTTTTACCAAACAGTTGCCCTTACTAAGAAAGCTAACACTAGAATTGCTTAGGATCCAAACACACCCTAACAGGCAATAACTGCAGATTGCTAAAGGCGACCTCCTTTGACACCGAGAGATATAAGAGGGGAGGCAGGGGTTTGTGTTCTTGCTTAATGCAGTTCCTTGTAGACAAAAGTCACGTTGAATTTAGCGATAAGGACTGCCAGAAGGGTTTAAAATAGGAGTCGGTTTGGAACCCTGGAAACTTTCACATGAAATCCTACAGAAGTGTGAGAAAATTCCCATGTCCAAACGCAAATTGTGTCTGAACAAAAACGTTGGTGTGTACTTGTAGATGTACAATCATGATACATGGGCCGAGACAAACACAAAAGGAGCAAACAAGTACAAGATAGACAATAACAAGTAGCAAGTTAACAATGCCCATCTCACAAACACGGAGTTCACAATACAGTAACAAATAAGTGCAAGCTCACCATGTGCCTCTGAAGCTGTTCTTTGCGCTTCATGAAGTTCAGGCAAAACTCACAGAAGAACAGCTTCGCAGAGTCATTGTACTCTGGTGGGAAAGGAGAGAAATACCAGGTATCTATCTCATATTTCCCAAGTTCTATCTTCGCTATATTTTTCACCTTTGTGAACTCCTCATGCTCCCGCAAACTAGCAGCATCAAGCTCCTCGTGACCTTGCTGCAAGGGAAATGGAGATACAAGTGAAAGATTACTCTCAGCCCATTGATTAGATAGAGTAAATAATTCCAGTACGAGGCAATTAAGGAATATAATTTTGTGTGTATTCAAAGCATTTTTCCAAATATGTTAGAAAATCCAACAAAGAGCAAACCAAAGCCTGGGATACAACTTCCAAAAATAAATCTACACAAGTATTTGACAGGTAAAGGAATAAAATCATCCAGTCTTAACAGTCCATTGCATACCTCCACGTGTGTTTCGTCGATTTTACGTTTCTGGTGTCGTGTCATCTTCAAACTTGTTGCCTGGATAAATGTGCAACGATTCATATGAGTATTCATTTCACACAAAGAATAGCTAATGTTGGATCAAGAAAAATATTATCTCGGCCAAGTAGACAGCAACTTAACAATGCAGTCAAGGATCTCGTGTTAAAGTAAATGGTACATATATCATTAACGTGTAGAACACTGAGCACCATGACTGAACTGCACTCATTTATCTTACCTTGTCGTCTACCTTCTCGTCAACATCAGCCTCGACAGTATCAAGATCAAGTTGCTCAAGTTTAACCCACTCATCCAACCTCCTGTTGACTGCAAATTCAGAACATTTAAACACAATCAATAAACATGGATAAGTCAATAAACTAAAACAAGCCAGATCACAGTTAAGTTAACTCATTTCTGCACTGGCGGCGCCATTCTGTGAGCCCTCAATAGAACACACCACACATATTAGCCTACTGGGAGGTGTTATGTTTCCATTTCAACTTAAAACACGGCAGAAATGTATGATTGTACTACGAAAATTGACCAGGAGAACGACCACCCCCACCCAACACTAAATCAAGCCTGGGGATCAATTCATCACTAGAACCCCCTCGGACACACGGCCAATAAACTCAATTAAACGCTAAATCCAAGATTCCCCAACCTGAAGCGCCATAGACCTAACCCTAGAACCGAAGCGACCAGATGGGGTGGGGTGGGTAGGCTGCTCACACTCGGTGTAATGGACGTAGTACTCGTAGTCGGCGGGGGAAGAGGAGGCGGCGGACTTCCGGCGCTCGATGACCTTGACGGGGTGGGGCTTCTGGTCGCGCCACCGGCACATCACGCGCGTCCCCACTTCCAGCGGCAGATGCGCCGCCCAGGACGCGGACGCGGCCGAGGATCTCAGCCTCCTCTCGACCCCTCCGTTCGCCGGGGCGGCCCCGCCGTTGCACGCCGCGGCGGCCGCGGCGGTGCCGTTCTCCGGCGCGGTGGACAGCTCCATGGAGCCCATCTCGTCGTCGGAGAGGATCGGGAGTGAGGCAGTTCGGGCGGGGTTGGGCGGTTGGGCCTGGGCCTTGTTGGGTATATCCTCTTGCTGCTTGGATGGATCGAGATGATTTGTTACTGACAGTGGGACCCGCATGTAAGAGTTGCGTGTGCCGGTACCGGGGGTACTGCCATATGTCACCTCTCGCGAAAGCCCCAGGGCTCAGGCCGCCCGAAGTTCAAATAGAAAAACCGCGCCGCCCGTGCACTGGGAGTCTATGTCTCGCTTTATGCGAGACGGAAGAAAGCCTGCAGGGAGCCAGTAGTAAGCCGGCCCAGTAAGGATGTAGTATTCCCACGCTAACATTGTGTATGTGTCTTTCTTACTTTCTTTAATATTTATATTTAAAACTACAAAATAAATTACTAGATATGTGTATTAATATCTTATATTATGAGATGAAGGGAGTAATTTAGCTTTTATAAAATGTTTGTGTCATTCAAACAAAATACATGTGACATTTTAAAACTGTTCATCTGTTTCAAAATATATATCAGACATTTTTCAAAAATGTATACAATGCAAAAAAATCATGTAATTCAAAATGTTTGTTCCTATCATCCAAAAATATACATTAGATTTAAGAAAATGGTCACACATTTCAAACAAATGTTTTGTGTCATTTAAAAACATGTGTTATCCAATGTAAAAATTGTTCATGTAGTTTTAAGAGAAAAAAAACATTGTGGTGTGTTTGAAAAATGTTTAACACATATTAGAAAAAAGTTCAAATGTTTAAAACAAGTATTTCCTTAAAATAAACTATGTACTTGAGAATGTTAAATGTATATGAAAATGTTTTATATGTATACTCCCTCCGTCCAGAATTACTTATCCAATGTAAAAATTGTCCATATAGTTTTTAAGAAATGGATGTATCTAGAACATTCTCCAATGTAAAAATTAACACATATTTCTTTCTTTGTTTTATATGTATCCATTTCTATCACAAGTAATTTGGGACGGATGGAGTATGAAATATTGGAAAAATATTCAAAACAAGCATATGAAGAAATGTAAATCTTGTACTTCAAAATATTAAACTGAACAAAACTGATGAAAACTAAATAAAGAAAAAAAGAAAACCAAAGAAAAAAAGGAAAAGGAAAAGGAAACGAAAGAAAAAACATAGAAAAACAAAGAAAATCGATGCAAAACAGTGAAAACAAAGACCACAAAAAACACAGGCTCCTAGCTACAGGATTGGGCTAGCCCAATAATACCGCCTTGTAGGCGAGACATGTTACATCTTAAAATAGGGGACATACATCTCCCGCTCCCGTACACGCCCGACCTTCGTGCCTCCCTATTAGCAACGGTTTCTTTTTCATTTGGATAACATAATATGTTTCTCATTTATTCATATAACACTTTAGGTGAATGTCGAGAACTTGGAGAGATCATCATTTAGCACTGTAATAGAGGGGCGCGACTATGTCTTACTTTATGCGAAATAGTAGCTCTGCTCGCCTACAGGCGAGCCGGGAGTGGGCCAACCAGTAGCTAGGTGGGTTCGTCACGCTGACGTTACACCTGTGTTTTTCTTTTTCTTTTCTTTTGTTTATATTTTGGAAATTCTAAATAAAAGTATTATAAACAATAATTTGTTAAATTTTAAAAGTGTTCACGGGACATTAAAAAAATGTCCATGCGGTGTCAAAAAATGTCCGTTCAACTTTTACAAAAATGTTTGTACCATTTGAAAAAATATGCATGTGATATTAGAGCATGGTTAATAGTATAGCCAACAACCGGCTATATAAAGTTGTCATGTCACTTGTAGCCAACCTAATATCTCACTCATACAATAGTTACTAGTATATTATATAATTAATACATGGTCCACTTCTTTCCCTCGCAAAGGGTATTGGAGCTCGTGCTACAGCCGGCTGTAAGCTTGTAGCCCACTTCTCTTCTCTCTCCTCTCCTCTCTCCTTCACCTAGACATAAATCTGATGTGGCATCTCTTATAGCTCGCCTATATCACCTTGTCGTACTTGCTCTTAAAGAAATGTCACGTGTTTCGATGAGTGCTCGTGATAATTTTTAACAAACATTGTGTAATGCACATAAAATGCTCATGTATAATTCCAAAAATATGTTTCATCCCATTAAAAACATGTACACTATATTGAAAAGAATGTTCATTGCCTCAAAAACTTTTTATACAAATATTCATGCATTTCAAATTTATGTTTAGGTCATTTTAGAATATGTTTATACAAAGTAAATAAATATTCGCATAATTTCAGAAAAGTTGTATGATTCAAAATATATTTGAGTGTATACTTGGGAAATGTTTAACACATATTTGAAAAAAAATTAAAGCATGCATTAAAAAAATATTAATCATGTATTTGAAAAATATTAAACATGTAAAAAAATATTTTTAGATAAACCAAGAAATATATACAATGTTGAGGAAAGATAAACATATAAACATATATTTTAAAAAATGTTAATCATGTATTTAGAAGATGATAATTGTGTATAAAAACTGTTCTAGTTGTATACAAAAATATATGTATGAAAAAGTTCACATGTGTTGAAAAAACCCGAATAAATTCGGTGAAAATCGAAGAAAGAAACAAAGGAAAAAAGAAACCCGAAAAAAAGGAAAAAGAAAAAAATGATGCAAACGGTGAAAACCAAAATAAAAAACACACAAAAAAAATCGCACAGAGTTAGCTACAGTACTAGGCCCGTCAATTAACCTGTGCGGGAGGCCAACCAGAGCTACGTCTCACAATAAATGAGACATAGCTCCAGTGGTAATAGAGAGTCAAATACTTTTTTTTTTCGGGAAGAGTCAAATACATTTGCACATGACTAACTAGCTTTGCGAGGGATAGTCCGTAGATCGGTATGGTTGGATATACCCACACATTTGTTTACCTTTATTAGTGGACGATGTAGCGAGTACTTTAAGCTAATAAAGCTAGCAATGATGATATTTTATAATAAAGATCACTTTAAATGGTAAAAAAATATGTTCATGTATTGCGAATTTAACAATGTATCATTTACATAAAAAATTCTAGTTTCTTAAGGAAGTGCTAGTGCATTTTGAAAATTGTTCGCCTAACTAAATAGACTTGTTTTCATGTTTATAAAAATATCATGTACATTTTCTTTACAAAAATGTTAACATGTTTTAAAAATGTTAATTTAACCAAAAAAATGTTCATGAAACTGAATAATGTCTGTGTAAATTTTAAAATTGTTCATGTAACTAAAATCCATACTTGTATTTCAAAGAAACTGATCATATATTTTAAAAGTGCTCATGCCTTTTAAATTGCTCATGTATTTATAAAAAATATTTATATTTAATTTCAACAAAAAATGGAAAAATAATAAACTGGAGAACAAATAAAAAATGATAAGGAGAAAGAAACTGAAAAACAAAGATAGAAAAAAGAGTGAAACTAGAGAACAAAACTTGAAACCACAAAACTAGCTCCTGCGAAAAAACAAAACAACGAAAACCGACTCAAGAAAAACATCAAAGGAAAACTGCTGAAAACTATGCCTCAGTGCCCCCGCCGTACTAGGCCAGCCCACCCAAGGCTCCACCGGGTGATATGCTAGTAACGCTTGCAATGAGCAACAAATCTCTCGTGTACCCATACTATACCCCCCCTCAAAAACATTGTGTAAAATACTAGCTAAATGACCCCAAAAATCACTACCTAAATGCCTTGATATACCCATGCTTAAAACATGTAAGAAGAAGTTATTCAAACTGGTAGTTGCTGGTTTCAACTAACAATATCATATTTAGTTGAGTTTTGCTTGCCTATTACTGTTGGTAGCTTGAGCATGTCATTTCGGTGTCATCCCCCTTTTTGTTTGTTTTTTCTTGTAACTAGTAAATGAGTACATGGAATGCACGTTGATATTTGGAAGAATATTCAGTGCATCTTGATTTTACATAGAGTATTGGTTGCATGTCAGTTATGTGAGTAGCAGTGATATTGATATTTCATATGATATTAATTGCATGCTAAGCATGTTGAGTGCTTTCCATTGAAGCAATCTAGGTCATTGAATTGATGTGATTTGATAACTGTGATTAGTTGAATCTGCTCCGTTGGGCCTTTTTTATATTGGTATAGATACATATGTCGATAACGCAGTGTGCATCCTCGTTTTCTCGACTAGTTTTTTGCATTGGGTCTAGTGGCAGAGACATGAGAGACTAGCAGGACCCATGGCTCCCCTATGATTCAAAACTTGTGCCTATATGTGCTCTCTATCTATCAAATTCTAGGAAAATATACATGTATTAGTGTAATTTGGCCCCTGTTATCAAAAGTGCAAGCCATTTGCCCCCGTGATTTTTGATTCTTGCCTCCGTCACTGATTGTGTCGTTCCACATACCAGGTGTGGTGTGAGCTAGATATTAAGTATTGCCCTTTATTCAGAAAATGCCTCCATAAAAAGGGAAGGGAAGACAGCCCATGCAACGCAAGGTACCCATTGCATCACAATTGAACTGGTGGCATCGATGGGAACTCGATGACATAACAACAACAACAGTTGTTCTTAGGGGCATCTCTAGCACACCCCTTATCCTAAAAGTCCATGCAATAGTGGCCTTCGATGACTGGATCCCGCCATTTCAGGGGAGTTGGGGTCGACGTCGGTCGAGTGGAAGTGCTGGTGGGATGCGGGGTGGTTGCGGTGCGGGCGGGAGTGCTGGTGGAGGTGCGGGGTGGATTTGGGTGGCACCGACATCGATGCGGTTCGAGCGAGAGAGAGGGCCAGGGGTCCAAAGATTGAGCCGCGACTAAGTAAATATAAGCGTTGGCCGACACGAGTAGTAAATTGTTTAGGAGCTAAACCAGATAAGGGTTTGCTTATGTCTGGTTTAAATTCTCAAAATGAAAATTTACTCCCTTAACCAGTTTTGAGGGACCGTCTAGAGATGCTCTTAGGGCACCAAAAAAATATGCCATGA